AAGAGAGAGAGAGAGAGGAGAGAATGGGGGACAAGCCACTAGGTCCTACAGAATATGGGGAGCAGACAACCACCCAAAGTTTCCATTCTTATGGTCTACCAAACTAGATACCTATGCTTTTGCTAACATCCTTGCACAGAAGCTTACCTTTCCTTATGCGAAGTACCAAAACTTGGTAAACAATAGATAATTCAGTCAATGCAGGAGTATATCAGTATCCAAAATAACTCAATGAATTAGCCTTGACTCTGGAAGAAGAATCCATAGATCTCGCTTTCTCCAAGGGAAAATGTAAGAAAATGAGAAAAGTTGCACTACAATTTCAAGACATAATGCACCAGTTAAAAAAAAATTAGCTCAGACATCCGCATCTATAAAAAGGTTTTTATATCAAAGCTTTAGCAGGTGCCAGAATGTATACATAGATTCAGATGGGATCTTGTCCTTCTCAATCAAGGAGAAAGAAAATATGGTGAAGCTTGTGAGCACAGGAGATGAGAAAACAAAAGGATTTCATCTCCTTGAGCTTTCCCGATTCTAAAGGTCTACAATTTAAATGAGAACTGTAGGCAGGGCGAAGAGAAAACTTCATCAATTTCTAGGCAACCAATTGCCAGGAAAAAAAATATAAGTATTAAATGAGGACATCTCTGAAACCCTATGGGGTAGAAAGATACATTTGGAAAATCGTGAAGCAAGTCACGTAACATATGAGGACAAGATGTCTTGCATCAGGTATATTTAAGCAAGAAGTTGGAAGAGCAAGCCATCAAATTTATTTTGTATCTTGAATTGCCAAATGACTCAAAACCTTAGATTTATGTGAAGGAAGCCAAGGAAACAACAAATGTCATTCTTAAAGATTTGATACCATTACATAATAATGGAAAACTTAACAGTCTTCGAAGACACCTGAGCATTTCTGTGGCCCTCAAGTTTGCTATGTTAATCAACACTCATAAGTATGACACAACATTCTTCAAAGACCATAAACGATTTGTAACACTACATTCTTATGAGCACAGTGCAACCATATGAGAATAAGTTTGAGCATGACTCCTAGATGTTTAATTTAACCTATCGTAAACGGACAATTCAAATCTCCATTGCAGGGGCTACCAACTGAAAGATGGAAAAGGACTGGGCTTAAATAAAATAGTTGAAGAAAGAAGCAGTGAAGAAACCATCGAAGCCTTCTAAATCCAAAGTTTTACAACTGAAGAGGTTAAAATTAATATTTGACTCGGCATGGAGTAACAAAATATGAAGACTTTTGAAGTCTGTGGTCTTAAACATGCCATAATATTTGTGTGGCTATAAGCCATTTGAAACTTGTGGTCTTAGACATTCCATAACTTTTGTGTGGCTATAAAGCTTCTTGTTAAGGGTAAAATGTAAAGTTTAAAGTTAAATTGTTTCCAAATATAGAAATGTCATTCTTTTTGGAACAGATTAATAAGGAAAATGTGTCACATAAGCTGAAACGGCGGGAATATATATACCTTGCCAGGTATCTCAATGCTGAAACAGTGCTGTATTACCAAATATAAGGTACAGTAAAGATATTAAGATAACACTTGCTTTGCAAGATTACATATGATTTTAAGAATCCACATCAAAAATCATTCTCCACCCAAGACAGGTATGAGACGCATTAGTTAGTGCAAAGCAAAAGTGACCAAAAAGCAGCATCACATAGACAGTTGTCAAAGGAAAACCATAATTAGCAGTGTTCTAGATGTAAAGGAAAGAGAGCTCAACCTCAATGAGCTTGACATCCAGGTGGTCTCCTACTTTGAAAGCCTGTAATTAGGAAAAAGGATAAACTATTTTTGTCATGACCATTCGAATTGTTAAATGCAATAACATATAAGTGACTTGTGAGCTTACATCTTCAGCCTTGGCTAGCCAATTTGCACTCAGCTCACTGATATGGCATAATCCCTGAATTAAACATAATTGCATTTGTTAGAATAGTTGTGTAACCCTAATCCCATATGTATTAGGAGTAGGACATGTTATGTATATATATAGGGCTCATTGTATCATGTTTAACATATGAGAATAATATCAATCATACTTTCTCCCGTGCATTCTCACATGGTATCAGAGCTTTAGTGAGAAACCTATCGTTGTGCATCATTCCAGCGACTTCCGGGAAGAAAGACCTCGTCGCCGTGCAATTTTCCGGCGACTTAGAAGGCTGCCTGTAATCGCATCAATTTTTATTGGTGTGTGCAAAAAACCAACACCACCACAAGACTCCTCAGGCTCCGGCGACCAAGCCCCAGTAAACCCCACCGGAAAACTCACGTACACGTGCCGGAAAAGGAAGAAACTTTGGGGCGAGATCTGACCCACGTGTCGGCGCGTGAGCACTGTTCCGGCCATTTTTTGAAAAACTTCTAGTTGGACAGTCGGATCGTCTAGTAATTCCGAGTTTGTCCATACCTTTTTCATTTGATTCCGACCACTTTGTGTTTTTCCGGCGACTACACTGACTTTTTCCGGTAGCTACAGTAATTTTCCGGCAAAAACAGTGTTGCCTTTATCTGTTTCAGCGCGTTGTCAGTTGATTCTTTCAGTTATTTGGTGATAATCCAACGATGTCTTTGGGAGTCGATGCTTTCGGGTCTAAAAACCCGGGTTCTGGCAGTTCCGGTGTTATGATTACCTCAGAACCCTTAATGGGAGGTTCAAACTACTTAGCTTGGGCTTCGTCTGTCGAGTTGTGGTGTAAAGGTTAAGGAGTTCAAGATCATTTAA